ACCCTCAGCCTCGTCCTGCTACCCTCAGCCTCGTCCTGCGACCCTCAGCCTCGTCCTGTGACCCTCAGCCCACGCAAATGTATGGTAGTTGTGCGTCTGTGTGGTAGTTGTGTGTCTGTGTGTGGTAGCTGTGTGTGTGTGGTAGTTGTGTGTGTGTGTTGTAGTTGTGTGTGTGTGTGGTAGTTTTGTGTGTCTGTGTGGTAGTTGTGTGTGTGTGTGTGTGTGTGGTAGCACGGATGTGGTGCGGATTATACTTTGGTAGCATTTTCCGTGTTGCGGTTCGGTTACAGTCTGGACCGGAGCAGCACCGGGCCGGTGAGCGGCCTTACCTCAGCGAACTGCGGTCCTCCCTGGTCGTCGCTGTCGGCCGCGCCGCCCTGCAGCAGCAGAGCCAGAGTCACGCAGAGCAGCAGCGGGCCCCACAGGTCCCAGTCCCGCAGCAGCGCCGAGCTACGCTTCGGGTACAGGACGTGGACGAACTTGTTGCCCACCGCCCGCAGGTCCCGCAGGATGGTCTCCTTCACCGGCTCGTCCAGCGTGGACAGCTCGTCATCTCTCCTCGAGGCGCCGACGGGCACCGAGATGTCGCCCTCCACCGGGATGTCGTCCGAGATGGAGACGTCCGACAGCCCGGCGAACGGTCTGCTGGCCTCCTCCGCTGCCGCCATTTTAGGGAGCTTTCAGCGACTTATTCCGAGTCCGGGTGCAGCCAGCAGAGTTCGTGGAGCTTCAGACGAACCGAGACTCCGACTGAAGCGACGAGAGTCCTGCTGAACCAGTGCGTTCAGTTCCTCCAAACCAGTTCAGCTCCGGGTCGACCGACGGCTGCTCCACGTCAGCTTGTTTACTTCCGCATGACGCAACTGACGCACACGTTCTGCTGTGACGCGTTCATGTACATCTGCTATAATACAGAAAAACGTTTTCTTTTTAAAAGTTCTGCTTATGTTGCGACGTTTGTGCCAATTTCTGTTTCCATTTTCGTGTCTTTAAGTGAGCAAGGTTAGCTTTCTGCTTTTCATTTTTCCTACAGTGGACTGTTTTCTTTGCATTATGATTTATATTATTTGGATTGCTGTCTTGTATTATTTGTATTTTATTATTTGCAGTTTTTGCATATGTTGTGTATCTTGTTACATGCAGTGCTACTAAATGTATTAGCCCTCTTCTCAGTTTGCTCAATTTCTGCATATTTGTCACACTTAATCATTTCTCATCTTCAAAACCTAATGTTTGATAAAGACAGACCTGAATAAACAGAGGATGTAGTTGTTCCATGACTCGGTCCCACATTGATCCTGTTTTCAGTGGATTCATCGAAGTCTCTCAGAATAAGTCTGTCAGTGTTTTAGTCATAGATGCTTGATTCCTCCATTACTTCAGTCCAGGCTCCTGGACTAGAAGCAGGATCTGGGGTTAGCAAGGTAACTTCAGGTTAAATCCTGGGTTTTCAGTCCTACCACAGTGGTTCACTTCTTACCGGGTCCATCACCATGGCAACTTAGCTGACTGTCTCATCCCGGTGTAGAAAGGACATGGGAACAGATGAACCAACAGAACCATGATCCAAAGCGGTGCAGCTCATTATCGTGTCCGACAGATACAAGCTGTAATGCTGAAGTCAGTTTACTGCTGTGGCTGATGTTGGGATGGAAATAAATATGAAGCAGCTTTGACATTGTCTGTAGCCAGCAGGAGATAAATGAACTAAGGCAGACAGGAGCTCATAGAGATCCTGGTCAGGGGACACTAAGGGGTTCTGCTGGTCCTGAAAACCCCTCACAGTCCTCAGTGGTCCCTCACAGTCCAGCTCTGATGTGTAGCGGCTCTTCTATCTATGCTGATGAAGTCATGTTGGTGAGAACTGCTTCGTTTTCTGTCCTGCTGAAGTTTTACGGGAGAGAACTGGTTTCCAGTGGAAGTGTTTTATACCAGTGGTCTCAACCTCCAGCAGAACCTGCTGCGGAGCTAAGTTACCATGGTGATGGACCCAGTAAGAAGAGAACCACCGTCGTAGGACTGAAGACCCAGGATTTAACCTGAAGATACCTCGCTGACCCCAGGTCCTGCTTCTAGTCCAGGTCCCTGGTGTTGTTCAGTCCCTAACATTAAATAATATTTTAGGTTGATTTCAGTTCAGTCAAGTGTGATGTGACAGAACATTGTAAAGGAACAAACAGTAGACATTAAATTACAGTAATTGTTGGTTTTGGCCTGTTTTCTTTACCAGTTAATGTGTTTATTAACACTTTGGTTATTACCTGTAATTAAAGAAAACAAGACAAAAATGTTTCAAAACAACAACAAAAAACAACAACTGTAAATTGTCCAAATAACTTCAGCTGCAAATGTTGACAGAACTGTTTTTTAAGGCAATGCAGATAAATTGACCACATAGTCAAGCTCAAAATATTTTATTTTATTCTCTGCTGTAAAGAAACGTAACATCATTTACATTCAAATCCTGACATTTACTGACTGAATCTGGCGAGATATTAACTCGTTAACCGCATCATGTGAGTGCCGAGGCTTTGGTCGGGAACAAAAATTAGCTCAACATTCACAAATGATTACGTTTGGACCCGACAAGACAGAATATGAGCAGTTGTGGATCAGCCTTTAGTTTCACCTGTAAACTAGAAACAGGTGCAGCACAGTAATATTTGTATTTTTCTTCTTCTTCTCTCCCACATTTTACTGAAGCTTTTGGTTGTGATCTTCTTCTGTTGCTACTTGGACGATATATAGTGAATGAATCATCTGGACAGCGTCTAGTTAAGGAGCTGATGACGAAGCAACAGTTAGCCTGAAGTGAACCTGAAATGAAATGAAATCAACAGACGAGGGCTGGACACACCTGAGCAGAACAGAAATAAAACTACAGGAAGCAAATCAGAGTAAACAGCACTTTGCTTGTTTTCAGATGAATCTCGGAAACTCTGACATCTGCGGATTTTAGAAATCTGCACAAAAACATTATTTTCAGGCATTAATGAAACAAATTAAAAATGACAGTAAAATGACAAAATCTCAGGATGAGTTTGACAATCACATGTTTACTGATGACAACAGTTTGCCACCACAAAGCAGCGCGTGAAGCTGAACACCTGTGCTGCATGCTCAGGTCACGTGCTTCCACCTGGATCACCTGGCCGCCACTCGTCCACACTTGATCCGGCTTCGTCAGTCTTGCTGGGCTGCAGTTTTGTCCCGGACCCGCCGCGTCAGGGCCGTCAGGAAGCAGAAGCTCAAGTGGAACTGCAGCACATCGCACACTTTGGACCAGAAGTGTCCGGTGAACCGCTGGAACAGCCGGTACCGGGCGAGCTGGTGATCCAGCAGCTTGAGCACCACGAAGCCCGCACAGGACAGCACCGCCAGCAGCAGAACCGTGCGGGTTTGACGGTCCCCGTGCTTCAGCTGCAGCCGAACCGCCCCGTGTACCGCCAGGGCCACGTGTCCGCCCAGAGCCACCTCGAAGCCCAGCGGGTGCAGCAGCGTCAGTCCGTAGCTGAGCAGCGAGCACAGCTCCAGCGCGGCGCCGTGCGCGCCGCTCCACCGGCCCGGAGGCTGCTCGATGTACCGGATCCACACCGGGACCCACCCGAAGATCGGTAACGTGAGCCACTGGTCGAGCACGGCGGGAGCGCGCCGCAGCACCGTCAGGCGCGTCCACTGCACCGGCGCGTAAAACACAGCCATGAGAGCGAACACCTGCCTCATGTAGCGGCTCCGTTCGGGTTCGGTGCTTCCTCGGTTCCACAGCAGCCAGTACAGACCCACGCAGACGTAACCCACGTTCACCACACAGTTACACGGCATCGCCAGGAACGCAGGCAGAGACTCGACCCGCTTCTCTGCGTAGTGGTCATAGTCCAGGTCCACCCGAACCGACCCGAACAGGTCGCTGTTCGCCAGGACAACACAGAGCAGGAAGGGAAGCGACACGGACAGCAGAGCCGCGATCATTTTGCCTCAAGTTCCAGAAGTTCTGCTGCTCAAACTCTTCATGTTCAGGATCAGAACTTACAGCTGTTATTGTTCCGGATTTTAACAGCACGTGGTTTCAAATGGAGGGTTTGACTGGTTGCTCGCTCGCCCCGCCCCTTCTGTTAAACGTGTAAAATATAATATAACAATTAATATATATAATATAACAATTAGAATTGTTATATTATTATTGGGCCTGCAGGTGTCTCAGTGGTTAGCACCGTCGCCTCACAGCTAAAAGGTCGCCGGTTCGCGTCCCGGTGAGGACACCCGGGATCTTTCTGCGTGGAGTCTCCATGTTCTCCCCGTGCAACGTGGGTTCTCTCCGGGTTCTCCGGCTTCCTCCCATAGTCCAGAAACATGCTGAGGTTAATTGGTGATTCTAAATTGTCTGTAGGTGTGAATGTGAGTGTGCTTGGTTGTCTGTCTCTAAGTGTAGCCCTGTGATAGACTGGTTACCTGTCCAGGTGAACCTGCCTTCACCCTGAGTCAGCTGGGATAGGCTCCAGAAAATGGATGGCTGATATAGTCCTGTGATTTATATGCACTGTAGATGTATTTGTGGTATGTGTCTGCATGTCCAGAGCATTTCATTTTAAGACAGCGCCACCTACTGCAGTGGATCATCATTAAAGTGCAAAACTTCAGGCTTCAAAGGGTGATTCCACACAAACTCCTACTTATAGGGTTTAAAGATGTAACACTGAAACTTTTTTGATTTGATGTGATCGTAATTTCTTTCTTTTTTTCTGCAAAAACTGAGAAGTAAATGGTGATTTCTTCACAGTATTTTAATTTTTGGAATTCCTGTTTTTGTGGGTTTTATGAGCTGGAAGCCTAAATTATGTAAAAAATTAACAAATAAATACTTGAAATCGTATAAATTGTGGGCCCTGAATCTACAATCTATGAAAGTTTAACTTTTTGAATGGAATTATGGAAATTAAACAACGTTTCCATAATATTATAATTTTTTGGAAAGGGTCTATATGGTGTTGCATGTACTTTTTTTTTAAAATAACCACAACTTGCTATTTACGTTTGTGCAGATCACTCACCTTCCTTCACGTACCACAGGTTCCGCCAGAGAGCTTCCCCGTGGCAAGATGGTTGCCGGTGATCCCGTTCGAAACGCCGCCTTAAGACATCTAACCTTTATTATATATATTAATATATCTATGCTCATCGGTTTCTAATTTTGAGGTCACATGACCACTCAGCAGGGCTGTCATGTGATGTACAGGAGGCGTGAACGCGCATTCATCAGCGGCGTGCTGCTTCCGGACTGCGCGCCAGCAGAATGGACTGCAGACTGTTGGCGGTGATTGTTTCAACTCTTATTTTGTGTTTGGACTCCTGCTGTTCTCACACGTATGTTCTGAACGATGAAGAGAAACTGGGGAGAGTTTTTGACGGAATTGGAGGTTTGAGCGGTGGAGGGGTGAGTTCAGCCGGTGTTTATCTACTTCCTGGTCCGATAATGTCCACAGGAAACTAACTGCGTGGATATTTTCTGTTTCTGCTGTTACTTCGTATAGGCGACGTCTCGGTTACTGGTTAATTATGCTGAGCCATACCGCAGCCAGATTTTGGACTATCTTTTTAAGGTATGATATGATCCAGCGCCTTCATGAAGTTCACTTTTAAGTAGGTGGAAACTCACAGTTGTGTCTTTTTCGCTGTCTTCAGCCAAACTTTGGAGCCTCTTTGCACATACTGAAGGTGGAGATAGGAGGAGACGCTCAAACTACTGGTGAGTTATATTTACACCACAACTTTGTTCAGCAATATATAAGATAAAAGACCCAATAACTGTCAGAAAATGGCCAATACCAGTTCTAAGACTCTTCATATTACTTGTTTTTAAATGACTAACAATCTAAAACCTAAATTTAGTCACTTAAACAGAGCAAAATAGCAAATCCTCACTATTTTTCTCCCCAAAATGTATTTATTATCATGTTGTTTCAATTTCTTATAAAATAAGACACACATACAAAGACCCACACATTGCACCATCATAGATGGTGGTATATATCAAATATTTCCTAAAATAGCAAATTTAAATAAGGTCAAATAAATAGATAAAAATGTAATAAATGATAATATTTATCTAAAAATAAAATACAAATGTATATTTAAAAAAAAAAATTGAATACAGTGCTGAATTGATAAATGTATTATTTTAAGCAAGTCTTATTTAAGTCGTTCTAGTCTGATACAGCTCGTCAGTGCCTTTATCCACATTCCCAGTGAAGGAGCGTCCATACTTTTCCAACAGATTGCAACAGTCCTCCTGGCCTGGAGAATACCAAAATCTAATATTTGTATCTGGATTGATGCATATGACAAGTCCTTTGAGTATAGTCTAAGTACACACTCTGGTCATATATTCAACCCTTCTGTGTATCAAAGCTACATATTTAGGAGTTATTTGTTTTTTTGGTTGTTTTTTTTCTCATGACAATAATCCCTTCCTGTCTTAAAATATCTTTGATGTAACACTACATTGCTGCCTCCTGGAGAAACCCAGTTCTCGCTCCACCCACCCCTCAGCGCACAAGCACATCTAAGCACATCTATGACTCTGCTCAAACACTGTGAAACTACTCTACATGACACAATGGCAAGTTGAAATCGTGTAGTAATTCATCCATATATGTGCAAACCAGAAAACTGTTGTGAATAATAATACAAAAAGCCAAGTTAATGGGATTTGCTCCTTAAGTGTTGCATATGAAACCTTGGAAGTCTGAATCTGTGTTTTGAGACCATTATTGGTACATTGCTGGGTCAAGGTGTGGGTGTTTTGTTTGGAACATGTCTGATAGAGTAATCGCTATAATGAGTAAATATTTGTGAAATAGAATAATACCTACTGTAGCTATAGTGTTTTACTTCAGGGCTACCTTGAGGCAATGTGTGGTTTAATTAAATAGTAACTTACTGCTGTGGCACTGGCATGTCATCTCATGGTTTTGTCATTCACACTGATCTGTTAACTTTGTCAGATGGAACGGAGCCGTCCCACATGCACTATGAAAACGACGAGAATTACTTCAGAGGCTACGAGTGGTGGCTTATGAAAGAAGCCAAGAAGAGGAACCCAAATATCACACTAATAGGTGAAAAAGAACACTGTCCTCCACTTCTTCTGTACACTCCAAAGAGGTCAGACAAACAGATGAAATAGATGTCAACAGGAGAACGTAATAGCATGAAACAGAAATCAATTTATGATCAAAATATGACTTAATTACATCTCTGTATGGATATCAAGAACTTTTCAAAGTACCATACAGAATATTTTTAGTGCCTATACATAGTTATTATATGTCTATCTATCATGACCGGTTTATCAAACCTTGTGCATCATCTTTGAAATATTAAAGACTTTGTAAACTTTGGTTTAACAACATTAGGAACTCTTGTGAGTTTGTAGTGGAGATTTGAAATGTGGTCTTACCGGGCATCTAACCTGAAACTGCTTTGATATTGACACTGTATACTGATAACACACAAAGCCTCTTCAGCCTTTTATGTGTGTTGGTCTGCGTCTGCATGCAGCTTTGCCCTGGGCGTTTCCTGGTTGGGTGGGCCATGGCAAAAACTGGCCCTATGACTACCCAGACATCACTGCAGCATATGTGGTGAACTGGGTCCTTGGAGCCAAGCAGTACCATGACTTGGACATTCAATATATTGGGGTGTGTATTCCTGCACTAAGAACATTGAATTAGTCTGCATGAACTTTCAATAGTGGACATACTGTATAAACAAATATATTCAGAACATCACATGGAACTTGGCTGTGTACTACTACATGAAACCTGTGTACTAAGTTGTAAGGCTGTGCATTTTAGGTTTAGACAGAACAATGACAAAGCTTTGAAGAACTGCTGACTCTTCTTACCCTCAGCTCCAGTGCCTGTAAACAGTTGGATGCTTTTCCCTTAAATGCTTTTTAACATTGAAAGTAGCCCTATTGCATGAAAACCTCAAACATGTAATAATAGATTTATGGATTTGTAGAAGGAAGTCACTGATGAATCTGGCCAAGTCTGCTATTAAACTGAAACTTACTTTTGTTTATTCAGATTTGGAATGAGCGAAGCTACAATACCAAGTACATTAAGGTAAGCCTAACTAATATGACTCGAGATTTCAATGTCCTTTCCCTGATTTATCTATTATATATTTATGTGTAAACTGTGTCTAAAATGTGAATAAAGGGAGAAAAACAGCCACTAACATTAAGTTGTGTCCCACCGAGAGATCCATCTAGTGTGACTCTCAGTGACTGAGGTAGTTTAAAACTTCCAATAGGGTTCTTCTGAGAGCATGTCTTTGTTGCCAAGGTGCTCCGGAAAATGCTGGATAAAGTTGGCCTAAGTGATGTTGGCATCATCGCAGCAGATGGTGATTGGAGCATCGCTAAATCTATGATCGCTGACCTGTATCTTAATGATTCTGTTGAGGTGATTGGGTAAGTACAAGCGACTTGGAGTCACCCTCGTAAGTTGTATTGAATAACGTGCTTAAACCTCCAACTGCGTTTTCACTCATTTAACCAGATGACACAGCAACGAAAATGTAAAAGCATGAATTTCACAATGCGCTGCAAGTTCACTGAACTCAATTTGATCCTTGACAACTGATTGCCTAAACATGTGATGCACAGTTGGTTCATTGTCCACTGCATTTGGGTGTGTCGTTGCTTGAAACACTCCTCCAGCGATCTCTCCTTTAATTCATTTCAGTGCTCAGCTGAATGTTTGTGGCTGTTGTTCTGCTGCAATTAGAGTTTAAAAAGTGACAGTTCAATTGCTTTATGAGCTGTTTATGTGCATGCTCTTACATAGTGCATGGAAAAGTATTAGGACTGACTACCATTAAACTAAGGTCACTCATTTTGATGTAATCACCTGTGCAGTATGTTGCTTCCATCAATAAGTATATTTTTAATTATTATTATTATTGTTATTTTTTTTAAAGCTAGATAGGTGCAATAATGAGTTTTTGTTTGTTTTATTTTATTTTATTTTTTAAAAATTTGATTGTTTAGCTGCTTTAAAATGGCTAAAAACTTAGTTATGGTAGCTTTAATTGCAGTTTCTTGGTAGCAGTAAATTAAAATCAAATGAAGTCCACATTTGTCAAGGTGTGAATCCCTGTCTTCTCTGCTCTCCATCTCCCTGTACCAGCTGCTGCGGTACACTTTGGATAAGAGTGGTCTGGAGAGAGTCAGGATCATAGCCAGTGACAACCTGTGGGAGCCCATTGCAATGTCTCTACTGCTAGACCCTGAGCTCAGCAGAGCTGTAGACGTGATAGGGTAGGATACTTCTCTGTGCGTGATGTTTGCATGCACAACCTCTGTTGCCAGTTACTACAGCTTCAGCCTGTTGTCTGATGGTTTGTCTCCAGCATGATGCTTGTTCCTCAAAATACTTACAGGTGCCTGCAAATACTGAATCTTTTATTGTTTCTAATGACTTGGACAAAATTGCATGATGTGATATGTACAGCACTAGCAGTAATTCTGCATTAACAGCATGGCTATGTTGTGCGTGGGTGTGTGTATGTGCATTTTCTTCTATTGTTTCATGTACAGTTCTGTAAAAAAGATTTACCCCCCCTACAGATATCTGGGAGGTAAATAATCTACAGAATAGGTATCTTCTATTTTTGCATATGTCTCACACTTAAATGGTTCAGATCATCAAACAAATTTTAACATAAGACAAAGATAACCTCAAGAAAACACAAAATGCGTTTTTTTTAATCATTATTTCATATATTGAAGGAAACATTATGCCTAGCCCCACCTTGACCTGTGTGAAAAAGTAGCTGTTGCCCCTAGCTTTCAATAAGCTATGGAATTCTCATATAATCATAATTATTAAATAATCATAAGTTTGCTTTTTTTGACAAATGTATTAAAATGGAGAGTCGAACTGAGGGAACACATCTTATATACATGCTGAGTTTTACACTTGCATACCCAGATTTTTGTCCAAAGACAGTGTGCAGTTTTTGCATTTTCAATATATCGTTTAGGTTCTGTGGCAATGACTTGTTTGGGTAGATTAATCAGCCTCAAAGTGTTAAAGTACGGGCATCAGTGAGACAGTTTATTACACAGCTTGGCTATTTGTGTACTGCTTTTGTAGCTGCTCCTGACTGCCTGTATATGAATACATGCCTAATGATCTAAGCTCAGATCATTATCACGTTAATCTTGAACTTGTGTGTGTGTGTGTGTGTGTGTGTGTGTGTGTGTGTGTGTGTGTGTGTGTGTGTGCGCGCGTGCGCGTGCGCGTGCGCGTGCGCGTGCGTGCGTGCGTGCGTGCGTGCGTGCGTGCGTGCGTGCGTGCGCTGGGTGATCAGGGCTCACTACCCCGGCACCATCACAGTGACAGACGCACTGAAGACACAGAAGAAGTTGTGGTCATCAGAAGACTACAGCACTTTCAACGATGAGGTGGGAGGAGGCTGCTGGGCTCGCATCCTTAATCAGAACTATGTTAATGGACAAATGACTGCGTAAGTACATAAATACACAAGTAATAATTAGTAGCAAAATCAGAGTATGTCAGACCAAATCTGTTTATTTTATCAGATGAACTACATTTCATCACCATGAACATTTAATTTTTATTTTTGATTAGAGTTAATTGCTCTTATGAAATTATTTCTAAATTATGTGATAAAGAGTAAAAACATAACTATACATCCATGTAAAGACTTAAAGCATGATTGTTCATTCTTTGCTACTTTACTACTACGCTACTTTTTTCCCCTCTCCATTGCCAATACAGTTTAATAGTAGTGTTCATTTCCAGTTGTTAAACTAACATTTTAATAAAGTTAATACAAATATGTACCTATGCAGGGAAAAGCTATAGTAAGTCCCTTTATGCAGCAGTGTGGTTCATAACTGTGATTCTTCCTTTAGCACCATCTCCTGGAATCTTGTGGCCAGTTACTATGAGGACCTGCCATTCGGCAGAGATGGCCTGATGACAGCTGAGGAGCCCTGGAGCGGCAACTATGTGGTTGAGTCTCCTATCTGGATCACAGGTCTGCATGACATTCTTGCACATAAAGACAAATAGTGTGCTAATATGAGACATGTTGTTTCTGTTGATTTAAGACACATTTGTTTAAAAAGCTTTTTCTTAGACTTTTGAAGGGAGCCATGCCACAAATGTTTGAGAACCACTGATCACTGAACAACAAATGGGACAACTACATTCTGAGTGAAAAAGCAGATTGTTGAAAGGTTGACTTCACAATGTCATAAATAACTCTCATTCCCATTCCCCTTTCCAATGGCTTCAGGGTTAAAAAGTGTTTCAGCCCATAAAGCAACATGGTTCTACTCACTCAGCCAGTTGTAACCAGGTCAGCATTTCCTTTTTCCTTGTTTTTAGTGATTTTGTAGAAACCCTAAGAAATAACATTAGTATAATTTACAAATGAAATAATATGACTTCTTGTAGTGTTAATATTTTTGTTTGCTATTCTGTTACCTTGTGACCCCTGTTTAATTAAAAAAATTAAGTCACAAGGTTTTAAATACGGTCAACAATACAAAGTGCATGATACTCATACGTATATGTATCTGTACACCACAGACAGTCTACCTTGCTGTGAGAAAAGTTTGATTATTTATAAGCCAGTTTTTGAGATGAAAATTGAAGGTAGTGAAGGTGGTGCATTCTCTTATTGTGGTTGGTATAGAGTTCCATGTGTTTGTACTCCTCACTAACAGCACAGATTGACCAAAGGTAGTTTGTCTGTGGGGGACCTGGTAGTCTCCTCTGGTGGTGGCTCTTGTGATTGTACCAGTTTGTGGTTTGAAGTATTCCTTCAGTGGAACATGAAGTACACCTTCCCTGGTTCAATTGCCTCTGGGGACTTGCATTTTGTATGTGGCTTTGCTCCTTTCATTATCTGTCATCTTTCTATTGTTAAAATATCTGATAAAGCATTAAAATGACTAACTGCTTGCAGGAATTCACGTTTCTCTCCATGTATGCACAACTCCTCTGTCATTCCAAACCGCATAACCACAAGGCCCTCTGTTTGAATATACTGAGATGTGAGCCGTACAGTTTGAAGTTGTACTAACATACTGATGATTTACCAGACTGAGTTAACTGTACACATACAAAACATTAGCTTAATTGGAATAAAACATTTAGCATTTAGTAAAGGGGTTTTTGTCTCCTGTGCTGCTTTAGTGATATACATGTTGTATATTTGTATACAATATGTTAACCTATAGAGTGGTGAACCTTATTGAATTTTTAGTAATTCACAGTTGTAATTAATGGTCTGAGCTCTTGAAGAAATTACTCTTAAACTCTGAAAAGAATATCTGTTAATCAATTGCTGTTTAACACTTTGTCCCAGGAAAGTGGTTTATAACAAGGTATATGCAATTACTTACAGATAACCTAAATGGCACTATATTGTTTCCTTGTAGCCCACACCACACAGTTTACCCAGCCAGGATGGACATACCTGCAGACTGTTGGACATCTGGAACAAGGTGGAAGTTATGTAGCGCTGACTGATGGGAAAGGAAACTTCACTATTGTCATAGAAACCATGGCAAGTTAGGCTGTCTTGTTTTTCACATTTATACTTTTTTCCTGTAATCTTTTCATCTCCTGGCTCTGTGATTTTATTTCTTTCGGTTTATTAATTAAATTTTAGATAGCTTCGTTTTGAGCTTTCAATGATTAAACTGAGCTTAGCTGCCACAGAGTCTCTTGCTCTCGTTGCTTATACTACAGACACTAACAAAGCAGTAAATTCCACTTGCTGCAGTTTTACTGTAACCTAAACTATTTTATCTGCTTTTGAGGTACATGATTTTAAGTTTCAGTTCTACTTTATTTGTCCTTTGTGCATATGTTTGACATACATACAAGGACATGAAGTGCTATTTCTTATGGCCCATAGTGTAACATTGAACTAGAAAAGAAGAATTAAGAAGTGCTAAACTATTTATAGACTCGCAAAGATAAATGTAGACTAAAAATGAAAGCGATTTACTAAACTGTTCATTTCCCTTACAGACTCACGATCATTCAGTTTGCGTAAGACCTCCACTCAGCCCCTTTAATGTAACATCCCAGAATGCAACTTTCCAGTTGAAGGGATCACTTGTAAGTTTATGAGGTCTTCATCAATCTGCTAAAAGCTGTTGAGTTATACTCTTATCTCATTCAAGGCTATTCATTGTTTCCTAGGCTTCCATCAAAGATTTCCAGGTGTGGCGATCACAGTTTAACTTCAAGACAAAAAAGCCCTCTTTCTTTGAGAAACTAGCTCCACTGAAGGTAAAGGGACAATTCAAAATTGTTTAAGCTTTGACGTAAGATGCATCATCTGTGATATTTCGACACCAATCAACAACTTTAACATTGTTTTTACATGTTTATATTGATTCTTAGGTTTTGAATGGATCCTTTACCCTACATCTGGCTGAAGACGAGGTTTACACACTTACAACAATTACCACGGGAAACAAGGGCAGCTATCCTGACCCACCTCCCTCAGCTCCTTTCCCTAAAGTCTACAAGGACAGCTTTGATGTTTGTGAGTACAGCGTACACAGAACCAAGATAATCATACACATGTAATTCAGGGTGTATTTCAGACAAGAAGGACAGTTGGACAGGTTATTTGAGGCAAGGAAAGTATTACACATCTTAAATTATGTCATTAAAATTATGATTTAGTAATAAAAAGTAATTAAAAGTTAGTGTTTAACAACATACAATTTCAATTTTTTACAGTGAAGGAAGAAAAGGCTAATGTGCTTTCTCTGTTTGTGTTTAAACCCTGGATAGTAAACCCTCCCTTCTCTGAGGCTCCAGACTTTGCCGACCAAACAGGGGTATTTGAGTACTACGTCAACCTCACTGACCCTGGACCTCACGTGTTCACCTTGCGACAGGTTGTGACCCAGAGACCCGTCACATGGGTGGCAGATGCTGACCAGACCATCAGTGTCATAGGAGACTATCAGTGGTGAGATTATGCTTTCAGAACTGGTGACCCAGTGACTGTAGAGTTTTGCAAATTTCACAAGTCAACTATGTGAAATCTAGAACCGTGTTGTTATTTTGCTGTTTTACAGGCAGGATCTGACAATCACATGTGATGTCTTCATGGAGACTATTAAGAGCGGTGGTGTGTTCATAGCAGCCAGAGTGGATAAAGGAGGTGGCTCAGTCCGCAGTGCTAAAGGAGTCTTCTTCTGGGTGTTTGCTGACGGCACCTACAAAGTTACCAATGATCTCGGTCAGCACGATCACACTTTACTACAAACTCAAGACAGGAGTTGTAGAATTTTAGTTTAAAAATGTTTTTTGTATTATAGATTTTTTAAAGAAATCTTAACAAATCTCATGTTGAATTTTAAGCTGATCTTTACGAATACTGTCCAAAGCAACGTAAGACAAAACTAAATTGCTTCTGTCATTACTGTACCTTTTTCCACTCTGCTTTTGTCAACAGCTGGACAGACTGTACTTGCAGAAGGACTTTCTGGTACTCAAGCATATGGTTGGTACACCCTGTCGCTCACTGTGAAGGTAAGTGGAGACTTATTGTTGGAAAGGGTTTTGTAGTGCTTCTCTTTTAGTTGTTGTGTTCCATCTTTGTGCTTTTTTGCAACTTTAATGATGATGTCTGAAGTCTGATGAATGCTTGTGAATGCTTAAAGAAGAGATCAGAATGCCAAATTGGGACCATTTTGCCTCTAAAATCACTACAGCTTTTAATCGGTCATCGGTCTTTACTGCTGCTAACGGCTAGTGGTGATTACGTTAGCGAATAGCGCTTGTTGTGAAATATTTTCCCATTACATACCCTCGAAAACAATGTATCGGCCCAGTTTGCAGCAAAATTTTTTCAGGCAGCAGCGTAACGGGCCGTTACTCTGTTATGAGGCTGGAGAGAACCCTGTATGCAATTATTATTATTATTATTATTATTATTATTGCTATTTGCATCATTTATTTTATGCCTGAATCGCTTGTTCACATACGGGGATTCCCACTGATAAACAATCAAAATCAATGTAACAGAAAGTCGCCATATACTGAAGCCCGGTACACCGGTCTGCAGGGTGGACGGGATCAAAGCGGCAGACCGGTAAAGCGGTTTGCAGGGTTGAACAGGGTGAAAGCCGCAGACTGGTATAGCGGGCTATAGTGTTGAAAGGGTTAAGAAAATGTATTTGAACTGCACCAGTTCTATCAAGAGGAGTGGTCAAAGATGTAACCGGAGGCTTGTCAGTCACGTGTGGGTGACAGCAGTGTGCTCTAAACAAACATATTAGAAGCTGAACCTGTTGATATTTTTCATTATAATATTGACACTGCTTTTTGCCAAATCCTAAAGAATAACACACGTGTTGCTCTGGCACACAGACTGCATACAGCATTGGCTGCCAAACAGTATTGGTAATATGTTTGTTCGGCCCTTTCAACAATCTGCATGCCTCAGTTGTCATATCTATGTGACTGACTGTCACGAAGAGCAAGCAGATAGTTTATGTAGGGTAATGCTGTATCTGGTAACATGTACAAATGTAAATCTGTTTCATGCAGCCTGTCACTGTGTTGCCTCTCTCCTGTAGGGCCAGTATGCATCAGGGTTGTTGAATGGATACCCGCTGTGGAAGAATGCTGTGGTACTGACACCTAAGAATGGCTGGGCTGCCATTGGAACGCACTCATATGAATTGGCACAATTTGATAACTTTGCTGTAATAGCAGAGCAATAATTAACAGTGAAATAATGATCAATATGATGCTGTGAATGTTCTACTTAATTTATTGACTTGATTCATGTGTTGATTTGACAGTAATATGATGTAATATAATGTAAAGCAACTTTGAAGTTTGTTGTTTGACATACTTGTAAATGATTTTGTACCATGTGGTTCTAATGATTTTTTTTTTTATTTTTTACTGGCTTTCAGTTTTTGAAATTCATGTGTGCAGTTTGGAGCAAAATGTACGACAAAATGGAATGACAATTTTAATAAATAAAGCATCTTGCAACTTAACTGTGAATCAAATGATGTAATGTGACCTGGTTTTCAACAACTGCTTTCGTAGAAATACAAAAAAAAAAAAAAACACATTGTGTACTACCTGCTAAGCAAAATGCCAACAGACACAGCCTTCCTCATCAATATAGTGAAACATTTTGCTGCTACAGTTAAGCCCAAAATTCTTTTTATCTCTACGTGGTTTTATTCCACCAACACCTTTCTTTTGGCTGCAAGTGGCATTTTCAAGTGACGAACAGTGGTAAAACATTGCCTTAGAGGTGTTCAGAATACATTTCACACATACATTTTACTGACATTGCACAAGTTAACTGGAAGTCATGGCTAAAAGCAAAGTGTTTAGTGACCTATTCAGGTCCATCAGAGAGAGAGAGCAGTGCATTGTATCTACTCACAAGAGGAGAAAGGGCTATAGAACTACATGTCTCTAAAACAATCACACTAAAAGCTTGCCTATAGACTTTGCTCAGGCTCCCTTGGACAGAGAAGAAAGCTTTTAATCATCAGTTGTGTTATTGGATGTGACATAAATGGAGTTGTTTGGACACAAGGATGTACCTTTATTTTAGTGAAAGGAAGACGCATTATTGTAGCAAAACTATTTGTCCATGCGTATGGAGAGTTGTCTGTCTGTCTCTCAATCCGTTCGTCCAAAGTGAGATTTGTCAATGTGTAAAATAAATTGTCAATGAAAACCGGAATTTGTCTGTAATTAGGCATTCCAATGTGTAAAAAATCTGCTCATCTGTCATGAAATTTGTACATGTAGTAGGAGTTGTCAATGCGTACAAAGGTATTTGAAGTTGAAAAATCTACGTATTCGAATACAAATGCTGAAAATACAAACAGATTACCAGTTAGGAGTCGAGCGGCTTCCCCATTGACTGTAAGCCACACAACGAAGGAATCCCGACAGGTGTATGTAAACGAGCAAAGTCTTTAATGCTAGTGCTACTTCATCAAAGTTTTTGCTCAGTGTCCCATAAACTCAGCAGATGTAACTTGTTGACTTATACCTGTAATATTATATTCTTAGAAGGCTCAACAATTGCCTCACTAACTATAAAACCTGCAAAAAACACTAACATGAACTCAGTGTGTGCGGTCGGGATTCCATCGTTTTCTCCACCCTGCCTCACAATGTCACCTACGCTCAAAGACTGATGCACAGCGCCGCCTGATAACTACTGAGGTACAGAGCAGCAGACCGGTAGCAGCCACAATGGACGATCCTGTGAGCCTGAGGTCAGGACACAAAAATCAACCAAAGGGATCAATAAAGTTATATCTAATCTAATCTAATCTAATCTAATCTAAACTAAGCTAAACTAAACTAATCTAATCTAATCTATGTATCCAGGCTTCTGCTGCTGCGGACATCTGGTTGGCTTTGGGCAGAGGATGGTGTCAGAGGAGCACCAGGCTTTTACACCAGAGCTGCTAATCAGACTACACCAAGTACCTGCCACTTCAAGGGGTGGACCAGGTTAATTTGATCAACATATTACTTTATGTATTTAATTTATTCTAGGTAGTTGGATATATGTTGGATTTGTTTGTTATTGTCATTCTAATTAGGTAGATCAATTGTACTGTTTTGTACTTTTTGTAGTTAGTTTAGGTGTGGGCATTTTATGTTTCCCCTATTGCTTGTAATTGGTCTGATCAGCCAGCATATATGTCCCAGTTGTATCGAACAAACAAACAAACAAACAAACAAACAAACAAACAAACAAACAAACAAACAAATAAATAAATAAATAAAAATAATGGCTGTGATGGCAAGTAAAAGTTTGGCCACTAAATACTGACACTAAATACTTTGAACATTGTCTCTATCACAAATTCTTACTGCCTTTTGTCTCTTATTTAGGTCTTCTCAGAAGCTTCGGTCAAAAGCAACTAGATTTTCAGATTGATGGACTGGGGACGTGCAGCAAGCTGCCATACAAATGCTCTTTTACATTTATGCAGTTACATGTCTGTGAAATCTATGTGCATGTTTGCGACACGTGTTGAGCAAGTGGAGCATATGTTGTATTTCAGATGCAGTCATTGTTGATGCAGTCAGCGTTTACAGCAGCCTTTCAGCTGAACACCTCCAAACTTCCGCACCGCGTCTCCGTACAGCGCGTCTCCATGGCAACAGCACGGCAACCGCAAACACTCCGGCAGGTGTCATGGCGGAGCAGGGGATGGAGAAGCTCAAACACTCACCTAAGAAAGTTTTTATCAACAACGTAGACTCATACGCATCCAAGTACATTGCCAAGGTAATACTTTGATGTGAAAAATCAGAGTTGAATGAGTCCGGTGCCGTTGTTCTGTATAGCATACTAGTGCTAATTACTACTACTGCTGGGACGTGTGCTAGCTAGTTAGCAACTTAGTTTGTAGTTTTATTCAGCAACTGTAATAGTTAATAATAGTAACAGAGACTGTCTACACTGTATAGACAGTCTATGGATAGTAATAGCATTGGTTAAGGCTGTGGTGTTGTTTGTAGTTCTTGTGTGAGTATGTGGTTGGAGCTGCTGATGCTGATGACGAGGTGGAGGAGGAGCTGCTGTCCATCCACAGCACAACAGCAACGTTTCAGCTGGTTGGAACTGTTTCCGAACCATCTGAGGAGGACAGACCATATGTGATGGAGGTCTATTGTGTAAGCAAATGTGTCCAACGGAATCCAACAAAGTGGTACTGTGAGTAATCATTTGTAAGCTACTTAAGAGATCAATTTAAATCAGCTTCATTTTGTTTTTGTGAAAGCAACTGAGCAGGGAGGAGCTCCTGTCAAAACTCATGGACTGTGATGTTGTTCTCTACAACATCACCCAGCATGCTGATCAGGTGGAGGAGGCCCTCTGGGCTGTTTCAGGTAAGTACTCTGGTTTGAACTTGCTGTTTATTGTTTATAAAGCGTCCTTGTTGCCAGTGGTGGAAGTATTCTGATATTTTACTTAAGTAAAAGCATCAATGCAACAAAGTCAATATACTTCATTGCAAGTGAAATTCCCGCATGAAAAATATTGTAAAAGTTAAAGTTGCAATCTGAACTCCTTGTTTTGTTCCTTTACAGCATCATCAGTGTCTGTACAAACTGAAGGCCTTTTTTCTTTTCTTTTTTTAATTGACAGAGTGACACAGAATGTTTTCCTATAATACTGCTCACAGACACAGTTTGTTTATCAATGCCGTGAATTTATATGACTTAACCTTTGAAGCATAGTGTCTTCATTTTTTCACTCTGCTCAGTGAACCCATTTTTATATCCCAAAAAAACTGCAATGGCTTATTATTAATTGCTAAGGCGAAAGTTGCCATATTCATTGCAAGTGTTGCAGTGCTCCTGAAAAAGGACAGTCCATCCCAGTGACCCCTAATGCAGCTGACATGTCAGGTCTCACCCTGTACCTATGAGTTGAATGTATCACCAGTGCAGAGATATGTGTGTGGAAGAGTAGCTAATAACAACAGCTTTGTGTAGTATGAAAGGACTTACTTTGGGGCAAACAATAACTTAATAATGATGATGTTTCCACAGAGTAAAGTACGACAGTATTTGATTTAGAAGTCACTTAGGCCTCCTGGGGTTCATTTAAAGCACATTGTTGGAAGTGAGAACATTATTGAACGACCTGTATATGTAGATATCTACTCCCAAACAATTCAGTTGTTACAATTTCTAATTAGAAAAAGAAACTTAAACTTAATTCATTACTTAACAATCTATTATTAATCTGAGTATGTTGACTAGAATTTGCTATTTATGTACGTTTATTGTATCACAGGTCTTTGTGACATGGTTATATTACCCTGTCACATTTTTCGTTTCGACTTTAAGCAGCTCTTTCTTTTTTCACCATACATGTGTTTGCATTCTGTCATAACAATATCATAAGGAATCAATCAGGTCATGACTCATGATGTGTTTCATTCGTAGCCCTACACAATGAAATGGGACATTTTCCTGGATCAAAGTTGTTCATCCTCATCTCCACAGTGATGACCTGGGCCTGCAGCAAGCCAGTTGATCCTGTATGTACCTCTAACGAATATAACTGCCATCTTTTTCTGGTGAATGACTTATGGTATTATAGCATGTAAATGTGAGGGGGATGAAAAGTATTTATTTAGTTTTAATTAGAACCGCCGTCATATCATGTATTATACAGTCAGTCAATGTCAAAATTAAACTACAAATCACAGAATTTTCTTTTTGCAGTAATCTTTTATGTCTGATCAAACCCAAATTCTTTAAGCTTGCACTGAGACATGCAGATCAGATTCCTCACACTAGAGAGTCTGTAATACCTGTAGTTAGTATTCTTTTTGTGTGTGTAATAAACTGAAAAAACACAATTGTGATACATTTTCTTGATTAATTGATGGACTTAATCTTTTATATGTCACAATATAGGCATATTATTGATCATCGTTTTTTTTTTAAATGTATTTTTTATTTCAAGCAATGTGATTGTATTTCTAAAAGTAATATGTAACCTTGACCAATGCCCATGAAACGTATTTGCACCTTATGGAAGTTTTTAAAGTTTTGTTGTGCACTATGTAGTGTACATGCGGGAGCCAAACACTTCACATCATCATGAAGCAGCATGCTGCAGGCTGTGGCCCCTGAACATGACTAAAGCCAAAGCCATACAGGCATGGCTTTTAAATAACAGCAGAAGTTCCCTGATTTGGAAAGAGGCTTTTTGATGATCTCTATGCAGTTGGACAGAGCTTGAGCAAGCTTGTAGCAAAGCTTATAGAGACCTGTCCACATAGACATCAGGCTGCAGTTCCCAACAAAGGTGCAGCTGCTAACAATGGCTTGGAAGGGATGTAAAGTACAAACTCACACAGAGTCATAATATTGGCTGCAATCATTCATTTTAGTAACTGCAATTTTTGTAGCAACTTTAGTGCATTATTATTTGTAACAGTGTGACATTTCCGTTTATTCATCATCAGCTCTGTCCAATCAGATTTATATTTTAAAATGACACTTTTTGTTAGTAGCGTCCTCCTGCTGTTGTCTCTGTTGTGTCACAGGATGATCTGGAGCTTCCTTTTACTGATGAGATTTTCTGGAGCAGAAGAGCACATCCGAACTTCGAACAGCACATTGATCTAGAGAAGAGGGTGGTCAAAATGGGCAAAACTGTAGGTCCAATTTAAGGTTGTTATTTGCTGTGCAGAAGGCACTTGTGATTGAAAGCTCTCATACTGTTACATGACTGTTGCTTTCAGAACAGAAAGCTGTTCTCCACATATGTGGTGGCGTCAGGGCTTCAGTATGGGATGGGAGAACAGGTCTTCCACTACTATTTTAAGGTGAGATTTAAAACCAACTGTATTAATGCTTTGGCAATCAACAAGATGTCTTATTTTTATTATTCTCACGCTATAGATATGTCTCTTTATTGTTTTTGCTGAATGTAGAAATCTGAATTAGACATCGACTTCATTCCTAGTGTCTAACTTTGGTGCCTGATTTTGAAGACAGATGTGTATTTATTTATTTATTTTTTAGTAATTAAATTTTTGTTAGTTTTAAAACTCCCCTCTGGTGAAAAAAACTCAACAATAATAAAAAAAAAAAAACTATTTATATAACAACTTTTAAAAATGGAGTTTAAAAAGTGCTTTACACACAGGACAAAAGAAACTAACATTTTTTTCCCCAAAAAATTGTTTTAGTTCATATGAATTTTTTTTATATGCTTGATGACACATCATGAACAAAAAAGCAGTCAATGCTGTGTCTGAACATGTCCACAGGAAAACTGCAATGTACCGATGACAGTTTCCATAGGACAGATTCAGACTTCCAGAGTGTCACATGTAATAAACTTAATTAACTTGCATTGTGTGGCTTTATGTATCATTCTCCAGAGTTGTTTTCTGTTTAAAACATGTATGCTGGAATTACTCCAATATTACAACTTTATATATATATATATATACTATGCTATGTAGTTTAGAGCAGTTTAACAGTGTTTGAACAGAGTCATAGGTGAGCTGGTGTGCTCAAGTTGCAGTGAGTGAGGAGGGGTGTGTACAGATCTACACATTCTAGATGAAGCAGCAGTTTGAAGATATATTTTAGCCATTTTAGGGCAAGAAGGGATTATTTTCATGGGAGAGCTTCCAAAAAAAAAAAAAAAAAAATCTGTCATAGTTTTTGTTGATGAATTTAACAATGCAGACATGGCATTTCTGGTTCTCATCTTTGTTTGGACTGAAACACAATCTGGATTCTGGAAGTAGCTCCAGTAAAGCAGAACATTTTCCTGTTTTTATATTTCATCATCTTCTATTTGAACTAATGCGGTATTTTCATACCCACATGCATAGTCATAATCATGAGATACTAAAGCAAAATTATAGAATAGAACAAAGGGTATTGATAAGATGTTTCTTGTTAGTAATAGTTATTACTTCTATCCATTGTTTACTCTGAAGAAAGTATTGTTCCAATGGACATTCAGATATCTCCAGAGGAGGCACCTTAAGGCTTAACTGTAGTTTGCTGTTGATCACATGGACAAAGAAAATGGTTTCTGGAGGAAAGTTCTGTAGTCAGTTGAGCTATTTGGTCACAATGTCCATAAATGTGTTTTGAGGAAAGAAGGTGAGGAGTTTAACTGCAAGAACACCAAACCTACCATCAAGCATGGTGGTGGTAGTATTATGTTCTGGGCCTGTCTTGGTTCCAGTGGAACAGGTGCTTAACATAAAGTAAATGGAATATTGAAAAAGGATGATTTTAGGAAAACCTAAAATCATCACCTAGAAGGTTTACCTGCCATCAGAATCTGTCATATGTGAGATCTATAATACATTTATGAAAGAACCTAAATGCATGATATTTATTTATTTGTTTGTTTGTTTGTTTGTTACAAAGATGTGTTTCAATAATTTCATTACAGAAAATGAGAGTTATAGAAATCACTGGAAGCTTTAGACTGCCATGATATACATGGTCTTTACAAGTGGATGTAAACTTTTGTTTACAGATGTACTTGTGGAGAGATCTGGCTTTAGATGAACCAAACTTACTCTCAAAAATCCAAAAAACTGGCATTAACTGAATTTTCTTCAAATAAGTTATAAATTCAAATCATTTGTGTTTTTAGAACTCATGGCTGGGGCAGGAACATGAGATATCCGTCTTTGGTGATGGCAAGAACATCATTCCCACGATTCACGTCAATGACCTGGCAAGGTTGTATATTGTAAACAACTGTCTTGAACTTGCTCTCAGACCAGAGCATATTGTAAGATTGACAGATCCCTGTTTGCTTTAATAAATTGGAACGACACTGACTGGACTTAGCTTATCCTTGAAAAGATTCTGGCAGCATGACTGAATATATAAATCACTTATATGATGAAAACAGGAGTGTCTTAATGTTCTGTCAAGCTGTTTTTTTTTTGTGTTTTTTTGTGCCAGTGTGGTTCAGAACATTATTGAACATCAGCCCAAACCATATTACCTGATAGCTGTGGACTGTTCCAACAACACCATGGAGCAAATAGTGAAGGTGTGTGTAGCAAATGATCACCTGTCAAAAGTGTTAAACTGTGAAAGTGTTAGCATGTTGTGAAGCTGATTAGCATCCATTATCATCCAGTGACATCTTTAGAATGATACTGTAATGAACAACAACAAAAATATGGAAGTACTGCTAATTAATTTTAAGCTGTATTGTATAACACCAACAAAATAATCAGGTATGATTATAGTTGTGACAAAATTATACTGCATACTATCATGTATTTCTGTGCATGCTCAATGTCATTTTATACATAGAGATGAGGAAAGAAAAATAAATGTATCCTGATATGTGAGTTTTTCCACCAACAGGCAGTTGCTTCTGAACTTGGATCAGGGAAGATCCAGAAAAAGCCAATTGATGAAGCCTTCCTTGTACAGGATTTCAGTGTATGTTGTGTCTGTTTTATGTTACAGTTTTGGTTTGTTCATTTGTTGTTTGTTCTTTGACCCTATAGTTGTCAGCGAATCATTCACAGTTCTGCCTCAGTAACACCTAGAGATGAAACGGACTTTTTTACTGCTCAAAGTGAAAGAATTTTGAGGAAAATCTTTTATGATTATGTTTCTAGGCTAGATGAGTCATGTTTGTGGGTTAAGCTGGAGCCAGAGCATTGACATGTAACATAACATAACAGTAGTTTGACAAGTGTGTCTGGTAGTGATGAACATATTGTGGAGCTTTATGATATCGCTTCATTTTATAGTTTGTTTCTATATAGTCTCAGTTCATTCTTCAGTGGTCCACCTACAACTTTACTGTTTTAGTTTACATTCTGTGCTCACACAGCCTGCTTTCATCCACATACACAGGTTGCTGTTTTTAAAGAAAGCACAGTATAAAGCCTTTGTGCACTACCTTTGTACGACGAACTGCAGACAGACACAGTTAAAGACAAGCAAGTGAACATAGTGGAGCATTTTTGCAGCTAAGAAGCACCTGTTTCCCTCTCAAGCCGGTAGTGACCTAAAAGATAATAATTTGAGCCAGATTCAACAGGTGGACACAAAGACAATTTCAAATTAATGCTAATGTTGTTTCATAATTGCTAAATGTGGAAAGAGGCAATATTTTGTTCATCCAATTTACATAGAAGGTGATGATATGTCTGTCATGTGCTCACTACTTGTTAGGGTTTCTGCTGGAAGTGGCCAAACTATCAGTTACTGCAGATTTAGTGAAACAAATTTGAATTTATAAAATATTATTGTAATTAGGAGTAAACATGTTGGTCCACAGAGGCAGAGGGGGATTAAAAAAAAAAAAAAGAAGCGACAGAAGGAATTTTGTCAGTTTGTTTGTTGACATGTTATTTTTACTTTACAGGTGATGGAAATTGATTCCATGCTGGTGAACCTTCGCATGGAGGCCATTCACATCAAAAAGCTGTTCTCCATTAGGTGGCTGTGTGAGTTTGGTCTGGTAGAAAACATTGAGCTGGTGGTGGAGGAGTACCGGCAGGCCCGGGGACTATTGGTAGGTACTATAGCAGACATCAGACACAGAATACACTGACCAGCACAATGACAAACTAAATTCATATTTCATTTGTTGAGATGTAGTATTTATAGTTTTCCATTTGTCTGAAAGTTGAAGATAAGACTCATCTTGGCTCTTGTTAAGATGTAGTAGATATTCTATTAAGTGTGTTCTCTTCAGCCCATCCGTCTGTGCGTGCTGGGTCCTCCTGCAGTGGGGAAAAGCACCGTGTCCAAAAAAATCTGTGAACACTATAAGCTTCATCACATCACACTGAAGGAAACCATCTCTGAGACCATTTCCCGACTGGTGAGCTCTCAGACTGCACATTGCTTTTGCATTTTAAACTGGACAATTCCATTTTTAGTAGTTTATTTAGGAAGATGCTGTGAAGAATGCTGATCCCGATGCCATGGACTCAGCAGCAGACGCCCAGGAGTTGCTCAGCAGCCTAAAGGATGGTGTGGAACAGAATGAAGGTATAGAATAACTACATGTTAGTTTGTTTCTTTTAGAGTTCACTCTAAAACAGTATACTCTATACGAGAGAATTCGTTCCTCAAAAAAGGTTAAAGGTTGAAGTTATGAGATCTGAATATTTTGTCAAGCTGCCATGATACAGCATAACTCTAACATGTCATACATACATATGTTCAGTGAGATGTTTAGATGTATTGTAGAAAATATAGAGTCTACTTCATCTGACTTTCAAGTCCCTTGAAATGCAATAATAAATTGCTTTTGAGATGATTGTCCACACTATCATTATCAACTGTTGTTTGACAGGTGTTTTGGATGACCAGCTGAAGGTGCTGAAGGATAAGCTGATGTCTAACCCATGCAGAAACCAGGGTTTTGTTCTGGATGACTTTCCCAAGACATATGAACAAGCTAAAGAGCTCTTTGATAGTGAGACACTGACATGTGTCAGAAGCACACTCATCCATTTCGTATAACATGGGTATATACAATGAATACATACGCATCTGCTTGTTTTCTTTCTTCTTCAGTGGAACAACATGATGAGACATCCCCAATCTCCTCATACAGCAGGAAGATAATGCCAGGTCTCTGCAGTGCACTGTCATTATAATCCTACTATTGAAGCAAGAAATATGTCAACCTCACAAGGAGCCAGATGTAACACTTTAAAAAAAACAAAAAAACAACTACAGCATTATCATACAATTTACATACAGTTGTAAAGACCATGTATATCATGACAGTCTTAAGTTTCCAATGACTCCTATAACTCTGAATAATTTTCTGTGATGGAATCACTTAACATGAGTATTTGTCACAATCATATTTTTTGGTTCTTTCATAGATTTATTATAGGTCCTTTGGAAATATGACAAAATCTGCTGTGTCAAAAATATACAGAATTACTAGTATTCGATATTATCAGATTAGTAATGGTTTCCTTGTGTGGGCCACAGAGTTTTTGTTGTGCCTGGATGCATCGGACTCCTTCCTCACGGATCGAGTGATCAACTTGCCGGAGGGGTTGGTGCAGGAGCACAACTATCGGCCGGAACACTTCTTGAGGTGCTTGGCCAGATACAGGGAGAACAACATTGAGGACGAAACAGTTTCCAACTTCTTCGTTGAGATGGACATCACCCCTCTGTACCTGGGTAATCCATTGAGCATGATTGCATCCTCTGTGAGGGGTAGTAAGGAGGGGTTTGTTGGCCAGGCAGTGGTTTCTTTAGCCTTACAAATGCTACAGTCACAAAAGTAACAGTAATTTTATTCAGTCAATCACTGCTTTAATGTTATTGCTAAACCTTTTTGTTTCCACTTACATTTTTATTTGGCTTTTATAAACATAAAGAGAACAAAAACATAAGAAAAAAAACATAAACATTGCTTGGGTATCTGCATTGCATTCAAATTCACTAAACAGTCCTTCCGTCGACTTGTTGGATCTATATCTTTTCTCAATTTTTTGTATAGCTCCATGTCTCCAATCATGCTTTGAATTGGTTTTTGGTATATTTCTTTTTCAATTTCTTTCCACTTAGCTCTGTAATCAGGTTTGCACCAACAGTACATAGGTCTTCGATGGGCAGCGTAGTTATTGCTAAACTTTACTGTGTTGCTGGTCCTCCTCTCTAGAGATCACCAGCAGCGACACACCTGACTGCTTGCTGCTGATGCAGAAAATCTTTGACACAGTGGGCCAGCCCAGGAACTATGGTCCAAGCAGCCAGGAGGTGGTGGAGAAGGAGGAGGAGGAGAGGAAGAAGGCTGAGCAGAGGATGAGCAGAGAAGCCCAGGACAGGGCAGAGGAGGAGCAGAGGGAGGCAGAAGATGCCAAATTGAGGGCTGTACGCTGGGAGGAGTGGGTAGGTGCTGGATGGTGAGGAGGTGTTGTGTCATTTCTGCTGACTGTGCCCCCTCTGTCTACTGTCACCTCAAGCTTTAGCCAGCAGCCAGTTGTCAGTTTGCATTACATGTTGGGCTCCACTGTTTTAGTGGATCTGGTTGAGAATTGATCATTGATAATGACAGGTAACATGCCAGCTCCAGTGTCAAGCTTTGCGGGTGATGTGTAGACACAAAAATGCATTAGTGCAAGACTCCAGTGAAGCCCTCACCTCCTCCTATTAAAAAAAAACATGTTTTTAATGACATTCTATAGTTTTTTCACACCAGGCATTGTACAGTATTCAGGTGACTTGTTGGATTACATGGACTCTTATGCCTACAGAGAAGTAAAATTTGAGCTTTCCTGCCCATGGTGGCCTCGGAGATCCATCCATCCAATATCTATACATCGCTCACTAGGGTTGTGGGGGGCTGGAGTCTATCCCAGCTGACTTAGGTTGAAGGCAGGAGACACCCTGGACAGGTCGCCAGTCTATCACAGGGCTACACTTAGAGACAGACAACCAAGCACACTCACATTCGCACCTACAGACAATTTAGAATCACCAATTAACCTCAACGTGTTTTTGGACTGTGGGAGGAAGCCAGAGAACCCGGAGAGAACCCACGCTGCACGGGGAGAACATGCAAACTCCACGCAGAAAGATCCCGGGTGTCCTCATCGGGACGTGAACTGGGGACCTTCTCGCTGCGAGGTGACGGTGCTAACCATCGAGCCACCTTGCAGCCTCGGCCTCAGAGATGTTAACGTTTGTTGTACACATCAGACAGTACAGCTCACCCCATATTGCTCAGCAATTAATTGACATTTCACTTAATTCAAATCCTGATCTTGCCATGGGTCCTCTAAGCAGGGCACTACAGACAAAGTAAACATTTTACGTAATGTGACTTGGATCTGTTTAGATAAAGAACATATTTTCCAGCTCAGAAATCACTGAGGAGCAAATCACAGTAAATAATACACAGATTTGTAAACATCGACACTGAAATGAAGATAACTTAATTGTTGAAAGTTTAGACTCATGCAGTAGTCCCATTGCAACAGACCTCTAGTTCTCCAGTAACAAAGTAAAAAGATCATTTCAGTTTTTTTCTACGTGAGTGTCATTTTTATATCTCTTTTGCTGTCATTTTTATTATTAGAATTGTTGTCACTGACGCTGCAACAGAGAAAAAGAAATGAGTCATTAGTCAACAGTCATTAGTCAACAGTCAATAGTCTAGTTCCAGATCTGTGAGAAACGTAGCATCAACGATGACACAGCAGTTCAGTCTGATTATCAAACTCAGGACCAATGACCAGACAGTTAGGCAAACCACAAGGTTAGACAGACTTATTAGGAAGAGAACAGAAATGCTGAATCTGTCCTCTAACTGACATCCATCACAGTTTACAGACCCACTTCATAGGCCATCCCTGACTTGGTGATTACAGTATTCATGTGAGAAGAGTTCTCCTGTGCAACAAACATTTTAAGTACACTCACTTTCACTTTGATCTGAGAATGATATGGTTTACCTAACCATGTTCTGATCTTCTGACGTGTCGTCTTTCATTAATCATCTGACTTCTTTGAGGCGTTCCCATTTTTCAGTTATTAATTTGGATAACCGTGTTATTAGAACCGATAGAAATTTATATAAAATGACCAAATGAAGTCTCATGGTGTTATAAACTAGAATTATCCATTAAATCTTAATGTTTGATATACTTTACAACCCTGTTTGATGTGTTTATATTGTGAGGTTTGATGTGTTACATGTGTGTCAGATAAAGAGCTTGGAGGAGGCGAGGCAACAGGAGGAGGAGCAGTTGGAGGCGCTGTCAGTCCCTATGAGGAACTACCTCATGGAACATGTCATGCCCACACTGACCGAGGGTCTGACTGAATGCTGCAGAGTAAAGCCACCGGACCCTGTGGGCTTCCTGGTACTGGACTCTCTATAGGTGATTGTTTATAAGTCCCTAGTCTCTGACTCAATTTTAATCATGATGATGTCTTTTGGTGTATCTCTTTCCAGGCGGAGTACTTACTTAAAAACAACCCCTTTGGATACCCACAGTAGAGATTATTTTTTGTGGACACACCCAAACGTCATGTTCAACAAATACAAAACTGAGAAGAACATTATGTTAATTTTCTTGTGTTCGTTGGGCTGTTAGGCTGAAGTCAATTACATGCAGCTTTTCTGTTAGAGGAAAACCTCCTGGAGTCTTTGAGACTTTTCACAGTGTTCCAGTCATCACAAGCCAAGTGTCCCTCAGTTCATGCTGGGATTTTGATTAGGTCTGATTTGTAAGTGGCCCATTCTCCTGCCCCTGTTGTATTGATACGCAGCTTTGTTTGGACTCTTGTGTGCTGGCCATTACTTAAAAGCACCCTAAAAGCGGATGAAAGTGTGTACAAAGCCAAAAGCTGATTAGGAAGTTAATTTGCTTAATGAACTTGGTAAACTCCAAAGTAGACACGCTCGGGTCATAATTGCTTTGATTTGGCTTCAGATATCCAGGAAGGATAAATGTTACAAATGGCAGCTAATTTGTGGCTCTCTCATGTTGCCACTCGCAACTCCAAAGTGTACATAATTGGTTGCGACGGAACACCAAATTATTTCATTGTACATACTTAATCACCACATGGGGAAATTAGTTGAGTTTATTTGGGAAACATTGTGATGCAAGCTGCTGCAAGACAATTTGACTGCACCATCTGTGAGTCTCGGGTACACACACAACATGGAGTTTCCTGAAAATACAACACAGATTTCTGACAATAAATGTGGTAATACTATATTCTCACAGTCTCATGTGATTCTCTGTCTTAGTGACCAGGCTAAGGATCTTTCAATTACATTTCACTGTAAAAGAATGTTTAATAGACACTAATACTACAAATAGACTAGAAATTACAAACACAAAAATCTAAATTCTACAATAAGACAGGCGTGCTTGGTTCTTTTGGTAAATTATCAACTTCATTGACGATGCTGTTTGTACCAAACATTCCACCAAAGCAATTCCACTAACTATTTTGCAGGGGAAGCATCTTTGGCTTCACCCAAGACAATTGTGATTGGGTTAAAGAAATAGAAAACAAGCCAGAAGATTATTCCCCCGATAGCAGAATGACAATAAGATGCAGTCAGACAGTTCTTCAGTACTGACAGAGCGCTGTGGAGATATAATTAGGCATCATTAGATATGGATATGCCAGATGACAAAGTTAGCGTTGCTTGCCTGAATGAACTTGTGTTGCTGTGTCTGTCCAGCAGGGGAAGCTCAAAGCCCCCTCTCAAATTTGTAATGGAGGATTGTTTGTGTAGTTTTATCACGTATTTGGTCCAGTGGTGGAAAGTAACTTCTACTCAAGTACTGTACTTTAGTACTTATCAAGGTACTTGTACTTGAATATTTCCGTTTTATGACATACTTTAATTAGTACTTCAACTTCATTGTATTTCAAGAGTAAGATTTTATGTGAAAAATATGTTAAAATCCAAAACAAACGTGCTTCTAGAAAACAGTCTCAGCTTGAGGTCCTTGTCACAATGCTTGTTAGTAACTGTTTCAGCTACAGGGATAATAAGATGGATGTCAAATAGGGCTAGACTGGTTACCTGTCCAGGGTGTCCCCTGCCTTCACCCTAAGTCAGCTGCAATAGACTCCAGCCCCCGACCCTAGTGAGGATAGATGGATAGATGTGAAGTGGGTTTCATGTTTCTACAAACTGATTTTCATGATGCAGTAAAATTAATGGAAACTGACATACAATCTAAAACACTAGCTTTGTCTAGGGGATTCAGAATAACAGAGTTTCAAACTGACAGGTGAGTTTCAAAACATATCAACCCACAGCATTCAAATCAAGCAATGGGTGCAAATAGATAGTGTCAATACAATGACAATTGCCATGACATGGACTCGCTTAACTACCAGAGGACAAGGCCAACCTTAGTTTGAATATGTGCATATACAGTAGGAGCAGGGGCGTTACGGTCAGTGTGTGTTTTAGTTTGCAGTTTCAGCTTCCCATTGTTCGTCCTCACACAACCATTGCGAGATCCCTCTTTTGGTTTCACTTTTTTCTCTGATTTATGAGCTTCCAGTTTGCCTCTTTTGTTCACCTGTTTAAAAATCTTTAAGCAATAAAAAATACAAAACAACAACAATAAAAAAACAAAAAACAAAACCCAAAACAGATCCATCTGTTTATGGAGACTTTAGAGTCATAGATGAACACTGACTTTAGCCAAACTCCTGTCAGAGTTGCAGGTTTGATTTCATTTACAGCTGAAACGTGTCTGTCTCATGGCTGTTTTACTAGCAGTGTTGTACCACTAGGTGTCAGTCTTAGATCATCTATCAGCTGGCAGGCTT